ATCCTGCTCAGGGTTAGGGTTCCCAGTCTCTGTAAGGCAGAGCAAGCAACGGCCTAGAGAAAACCAGTGACTTCCAAGGGAATCTCCTGGAAGTTGTGTGTGCTCCAAGATGACATGTCCAACATACGGCAATTACCCAGATCAGAAATTGAATGCTGAAACACCCTGGGTCCTGCCCAGAGTTCTTACCCCACATATCCTAAGTCTCCCATTACTGCTCTAGGAGAAGGGACTGAACAGAAACAAGGATTTTTCCTTGAAAACTGTCTCTAGGGCTCTGAGCCAGAAGGACCTCTGGGGTCAACAGGCTCTATTTTCCTCTGGGACACAAGAGCTCTGCTCTCCAATGTATAGTCCAGGTAGACATTCAGCTCATAGTGTAGGCCCCCTATGGAGACGCCCACTTTATCCTTAGACTGGTGCCTCTGTTTTGGAAAATTCCTCCCACTCTGGAAGAGGCCTCAGCCTCAGCCAACCCTTGGGTTCCTCTCCACGACCCACATCATCTCCTTGAGTTCTCTGCTGCAATCTTGTTTTGAGACAGGATGTTCTGTGGTGCATTGTACAGCAGCTGGTCCCTGAGCACATACTGCTGAGAAGAGCCACCCCCACAAGCCTCACTTTTGCAGCATTTGCCTTGCCAATTATTAGTACAATGGGCCAATTCTCATCCTGTGTTGCTCTTGGGGAAAATATGCAGGCTAGGGAACTGGCCTAGATTAGAAATGGAACAGCAGAAGTTGCCAATTAACATGAGTTCCTTTTTTGTATCCCCTAAAGACGTTAGTCTCTAGGGAGAATTTATAAAAGGCATGATCCCAGGCCCTCTAGGAACTCCTTAGATGCCTCAAATCACTTGGGATTGGCATGAGTGTCAAAAGTCCCTTGGTCCAGCTCTGTGTCCAGTGCTTGAATGCCTTGGCTGACCTTGTCCTAAATACATCCACGTTTGGGTACTCAACACTATCCATGGCAAGGTATTCCACCTTTGGACAGCTCCATAGATTTGAAAAATCTCCCTTCAGTTGAATCAAATCCACCTCTCCATGGCTTCCCCACTTTTGTCCTGGCTAGTGAGAGAGCCTAGCCAACCCCTCAGTCTCCACTCCCTGGAAATGACCAACTGCTCAGGAAAATGATCTGTAGGCCAAAAATCTAGTTTTGGAAAAGCACAAGAGAAAGCCTACTATAGCAGAAAGGCTAATAAGTGGAAGAGGGGTGAGCCTCTTCTCACAGCCTGAAAGGCAAAGTCAGGTTACAGATTCAGCATGTGGAAGGCTTGTAGGCAGCCCCCAAAACTCCAGCTGTACACACATCAGAAAATGTGTGGAATTCCTGTGGAATGTAGAGAAGAGCAGAAGCTACGGCCTTTGCTTTATAGGAGTCCACGCTCTTATCGGGAAGAAATGGAAGCATTTGGAGAAACCTGAAGCTTGGTCCAGATTCAACAGGCCTTGGATGAGGGGCTGAGTCAGTCTCCATGGAGGGGACCGGTCTCATGGCCAGAGGCCTTGGCTTCTCCCTAAAACTTTCTACTTATTGCCATAAAAAAAGCTTCAAGTCTCTTTGCCTCAGGCCTGACTCAAACCTCACAAAGACTCAGCCAGTCCCACATTCTTGGAAGAGATGTTGGCTCAGAAACACAGAGGGAGTCTGGGACAGTCCCCCATTATGTGGGAGGAGCAAGGAGAAATATGAAAAAGAAAACATCTCCCTCCCACACGAGGGAGGTGGCAAATCAAGACAACAGGCTAAGGGGAACAGATGAAGGGCGGGTCTCGTCACCATTACAACAAGCCTATCGATTCTGAAAGATGGAATTTTTGTTTTTCTTTTCATCTGTCACTCTTCTCAGTACTGTCACTCTCTTTGCCTGCTCCTGGCGGGAGCCAAGTTGTGACTTTTTCACTCCCACCAACAAGCTGCCAGCTTTTGGGAGTGTGGCTGCTATGGGAGGGGAGGAGAACGGGGTTTCCAGAGGGGTGCACAGAAGACTCAGACTCTGGGTCACCCTTGCCCTGGGCATAGCTGGGAAGCATGTGGCTTGCTCATGAAGTATGAACACAGCTGTTTGTACACAAGTCCACTAGGAAGCCTCTTCTCACATGGACACTGCAGGCCAGAGGAGGAATCAGAGTTCTGACCCTTAAATAAAAGGGATATTTGTCCCTGCTCGAGAACACCCCATCATATTCCAACAGAGTGAGTCCAAGAAAGGCAGAGGTGGCAACTGAACAGAAGACAGTGGCCTTGGGCCTCCTTTGAAAAAACTAAATTTGCCGCTATCCAAAAGCTAATGACTCACGTAAGGGAAATCATAAACCCTTGCCTAGATGTAAATTCCTCAATTATGTGGGCTGTGAAGACACCAACACCAGCCCTTCATTTCACACCCTGTCAAGTTATGCCAAATTTAGACAGTTGTGTTATATCTGTGTTTGCTTTCTGTGATTGGTGGTGATAGGGCCCAGGTGCCCCCTCTATTCTAGAGGTCCTCCCTGATCCCTGTTAGTACAATTGTGTTGACATAAAGAAGGCTCAGTGGCACTATGTGTCCTGCAACAGGTGGCAGTCCCCATACCATCTGACTGCCCTCTTTGCTTGTATGGGATGTATCCCCACACACACATACCCTGCCATCTTCATGGGCCAGAGGCCTCCTTCAGAAGTGAGGGACGCTCTCCATCTCCAGACATAATCCAATGCGCAGTCACTGGACCTTCTTCCTTCTGCAGTGACATAGACTATGCCTCCTTCCCCCGCTTCTATATGCAGATCCGACCCCACTTCCTTCCCAGATATACCAGAAGTGAACACTCCATCTTGTCCACCTTCTCCAGCCAGGGAGGCAGATGCCCTCTTCGGGTCTTTTGAAGATAGTACCAAAAAAACATGCCTACCACTCCCTTACCCTTGAAGGCAACCCACAACCAAGGTGAACTTGGGAAAGACCATGAGGAAGGAAACACAAACAGCCGTGGTGACCAAGGACACAAAGTGCACTTCAGCTATTGAAAAACTGATGAGCTTGTGAAGTCAGCGGGACTTGTTCCTTGGCTCTCAGCCTTCCTGTCTACCACCTTCCTCCAGGCCTGTTCCCCACTCTCTCTGAGCACCACTGTCAACCACTCTTTTCTAAGGTGTGAGTTGACAATACGTTAAGATGCCTCCCCACCACACCCCTACCCTGGCCACACAGAAGAGTTTTACAGGAACTTCTGCTAACTTTAGGTCCTCCAAGGACTCTAAAGAATTCCTCTCCAGAGGCAGAGTTACAGACTTCCTGAACAACAAGCAAGGAAACATTTTGAGTGTTCTGGAAAATCACGCCAAGTGGGAATTTACTTGTTCAGCTGATTCTTGAACCAGGCACCCAACTCATTTTTGCACATTTCCCTTATCAGGCCATTATACCAGAGCAGGAGAAATTCTACCCACTTTGAATAATCATTTCCACTGCTTCCAAAGCCAGAATATGCCTTGCCAAGTGTAACCCATATTCAAGAGCCATCTGCGTTAGCAATACAGGAAGCCACCAAGGGGGTGTGCTTTAGATAATCCTATAGCTCTGCCAGCCGAGGCTGCTTCTGGGGAGGGAAAGCAGGCTGCTATTTGCCAGCTGCAGGCCCCAACCTCAGCCCTGCTGAATCCTGTACAATGCACCAAGTAGAACTAGGGCAGAGGCCACTGACTTGGTCAGTAACAGATCCCTTTCCACACACCCAGATTCTAATAGGCAGATGTCTGAGGAGTCGCTCAGGCAAAAGAGTCCACCCCTTGTATGGCCTGCCTACATCCCTACCCGAAAAGAACACATGGAGAGGTGTAAAAACTATAGCCCAGCCAGTGCCACCAGCCAACCAACCATGGCTGTGCCTGTGTCAGCTGAGCGTGCATTTCATTTTAATTCAATGGGAAACTTGCATTTGAGTAAACAATATAAACGAAGGTGGGAGAGCCACTGTGACATTTGGGGATGAGGAGTCTTCCAAGGTTTTAACATGGTCCCTTACCTGGGTCAAGAATGTGACTGAGCCGTTTCCCCTCTTCCTGAGCCATTTCCCCCTACCATGAGAACTAGTTTCATTTGATGGTTCTCACCACCTGGGAAGATGTTGTCACTCGCTCCCCAACTTTTGAACCCCAGTGGAGGTGACAGAACTCGGGGCTGGTCTCACCAGATGGATGGCCTTTCTCAGGCTTCACAAGCTGAGCTCTGTCCTCCTCCTACTGCACGTGGGTCCCTCTCCCCAGGCCCCAAGAAATTAAGCACCTGCTCCATGACCCTGCCCCTCAAAACCCAGCGCAAGATCTTTTACTACAGGTGACAGAGATTTCTAAATTCAGCCACCAGAGCTGCCCGCAGTGTTTCTTAGCGAGCACCTCCAACAGAAAAAATGACACCAATTAAGCATAATTATTAGGACTTGATAGAGCCATTTTTCTATCTCAGTGCCTTTGTACTATTCCCAGCCTCCAGTTTTCTTTTTCCCTAAATGGGGACTCAGAGCAGTAAGTTAAAGGCATCCATTGGTTGGTCTTGATTATACGTACAATAACTGTCTTATTAAATTGAAATCAAATGCACATCCAGGGGAAAGTTCATTTTAAGTACAACTCTCAGAAAAATACTCAGGAACAAAAACGAGAAGGGAGGCCAATGCGTTGCTGAGCAACAGAGGGGATGGGGGACAGGAACTGAGCTGAAAAAGAAGGGATACGGTTTTCTGAGAGAATGGGGTAAGCTCCAGGGTGCAGACCTTGGTAGAAGTTGCCCTCAATTTCTTGTGGCATCGCCCACCTTAGAACAGGCAATGAGGAGGGCAGAAAATGTCATTATAAATTGAACGTAATCAGGGATGCTTGGAAAATTGTTACGCACACACACACATACACGTTTTTTTCTTGGGGAATGTTTAACACTCTGTCAATAAATACAAAGCCTTTCCAACTATTATGAATGTTAAAGAGGGTGATGGGGCTGAGTGTATGTGTGTAAAAATGCTATTTCTTGGATGGTCTCTAGCCTCCTGGCTCACTTTGCTCTTTCCCCCTCCCCTCCCTCCTCCTCTTCCTAGGACAAGACAAGCGCTCTGAGCCTCAGCAATGTGGCGGGCGTGTTCTACATCCTGATCGGAGGACTGGGCCTAGCCATGCTGGTTGCCTTAATCGAGTTCTGCTACAAATCCCGTAGTGAATCCAAGCGGATGAAGGTGGCCTCGTCTTCCCAGGCCTTTTTCCCAACCTGTTCTGTGACACAGCTGGGTTTCCTGGGAGTCCCTTTACTAGAAAGGGTGGGGAGTGACAGGAGGTTGAGGTCAGCCTGAGGCAGGGGGCAGAAAGCCGTTCTGAGGAAAAGTGGCAGGGAAAGAGGCAGCTGTGAGAAAAGAAGGAAGATGAGGTGTGTCAGGTATAACATAAGGCACGAGCAAAGAACTGCATCAGCCAGTGATGGGGTCGTGAGATTAAAAGTTAGGGGTTTAAGTGACAGACAACATAGTGTGAGGCAAGAGTGATTGACACAGAGGCAGATTCTCTCTGAGGTTGCATTAACAGGAGTGTAGCTCCACAAGTAAGGGAGGAGGTGTCTACCTCAGCAAAATAGATGATCTTGCCATGCTTGGTGAATTAAGTCTCTTCTTAGCCAAATATTGTAAGATGGACTTTGACAAAGAGTATCATGCACAGTGAAGGATAAGCAGATTCATTAGACAATCCCAAACCATACCAAATATAGCTAAGGGCAACTAACTGGAAAAGAAAAATTATGGAGGATGTGAGAGCTATCTATAAAAGTATGAAGACTTTTCAGGCAGGAAAGAAAACAGACTAGTTCTGTGGAATCCCAAAGTGTACAATAAGAACTAATGACTAAAGCTATGCGGAACAGATGTTAACATAATAAGTGGATCTACTTTTCTTTCAGAACTACCCAAAAGTGGGAAGGACTATCCCAATAAGTACTAAGCACCCTGTCACTGGAGGTATACAAGTAGAGGCTGAATAACTCTTGGCAGGGATATAGGTTCAAGTATCCAAAGGGAGTTTGGATTAAGTGACCTTCAAGTCCCCTCCCATTTCATCATTCAGCTTCAATAAGGAAATATTTATGGAAGTAGTAATCATGTGAGCACCCCCGTGAGCAAGACATCCTGAGGAGGCAGAGAGGACTGAGACGCAATCTGTGACCAAGACATCTTGAGGAGGCAGAGAGGACTGAGACGCAATCTGTGACCAAGACATCCTGAGGAGGCAGAGAGGACTGAGACGCAATCTATGACCATTGGCACCTTCAACAAAGAATGGCACAGAAAAGTCATTCAGTGAAGCAACCTGTGGTACAGATGGGAAGGCCTATAGGAATATAGAGGAGGGAGAAATTGAGAAGGTTTCCGGGAATAGGCAGACATTAAGAGGAAGAACAAGAAAGTTTCAAAACAATAGCAATGGGGAGAAGGTAGTCACTCTGAGCAATGTACCCTAGGCTGTTGCTGTGGCTTGACTACACTAAGAAGACTCATTGGCAGGATTCGCTCTCCTAGAATGTGCCCTAGAAGCCCATTTTCCAACGTGCGATTGCTCCCAAGCTCATCATGACCATAGCCTCCTGCCCCGCCCCTCCCTGCCATGGGCCATCAGCCCTACATACACCTCCAGGGTCACTCTTGGAGAAGTCTTTGCTGGACATTTTGCTTCCCCTGTTTGGAAACTCTGTCTTCAGTTGTGTACACAGAGAGTGGGAGTCGGGGGAGGAAGGCCTTCTGTCCTGGCATTCAGAATTTCCACGTCATGGCTCCAGCCTACTTTCCCCTCCCAGGCAATCTGCTCTCCTTACATACTCCCTACTCAGCCTCCCACCTCCTGCTTCCCACCCATGTGCCTTCATGCAGGCCAATCCCTCTCCCCACCTTCCTGTCCCATAGAGTCCATTTAAAAGGCAACTTCCCTAAAATATAATAACAAGGAAAAATTAAGGGATGCAGTGTGATGGTATTTGGCCAGGAGACTCAGGAACACTTCAATCCCACCCTTGACCAGCTCACTCACCACCAGCTCCACTGAGAAAGGACAAAGTACAGCAAACGCATGAGCCCCAGACCTGAAACCCAGTGTAGACCTCCAAGGAGCTTAACTGGATACAATGAGTTCTCCTAGAACCTAAACAAAGCTTCCTCTGCGTGTTCCATCTAAAACGTAAGCCTAAAGACTCTCCTATCTTACCCTCCAAAGTAAGGAAAGGCCACTCCAGAGGCAAAGAGGGGAATAAGAGAAGAGCTAAGTGAGATGCAACCTTTACTACCTCCCCCAAAACCTTCCCATCGACCAGCACCCAAACCAGGGACCCACCTCAGGAGTGCCCTCTCGCCGCTCCCCTAAGAGACAATGCAGTGTAGTGGTCTACACGGGCTCTGGAGACTCTTTGTAAACTGTGTCATCTTAGACAAGTTTCAACAGCTCTCTGATCCTCATTTTCTTTAAAATGGGGCTAGTGGTAATACATACATCATGAAATTGTTGTGAGGATTATATTTTAAAAATGGATATACAGGGCTTGGCAAAATGCCTTGCCCATAGCAAGCCCTCAATAAATAATAACAATGATAATTAGCATTCCCAATAATATTTCCTCTTATTATTAGTGGCCAGCTAGGACCTTCTTAAGACTTTCCTTTTATTGCCCCCATTTACATGTCCTAGGTTTGTTGAGCTATATAGTTTGAATTCCTTAAGGTAAGAAGCTGTGTCTGATTTCTCTTTGAACATCCTGCACACATAGGGTATTAGTAAAATTAATGTGGAATTGTAACCAGAAGAAAACATCTCTTAGAGGATAAGGTGAGGCATGGGAGGGAGCTGCTATTAGTTTAAGCAAATACAACCACCGAAACCACCCAGGCTGGAAGCACAAACATCATCCAACGTGGTTTTGGTCCCATTTTTTTGCTCATACAATCTAATGAGACCAGGCATCCACCAAGGAGGAACCCTTCTGGACTTCCAGCACTTCCATGACTCCCACTAATCATGGTCAGTGCCAGGTGGTGGTACCAGGGTGGCTAAAGACTGGTATCTTCTTAAAACTGGGAAAGTGTTGACCTTCACCACTGAAGTCACAACATTCAGGTTACGACAAAAATCCTTAGAAAAGGCCACTGAGTCATGCCATAACTTTTTGGAAATATTCTCACCCTTCCCTTTACAAAGAAGATGTTGAATTTCTCAGCAACCAACATCAGGATCTCTTGGAATCATTCATTCAAGTTCTTCTACCACAATCTTCTATAATTAATTCCATTGGTTGGCATGACTTCTGCCTAACTCACCGAGGCTCCTAATAGAATTTTTAATCTTCTAACAGCAGAAAAGATACTTCTACTATCTTTTTAATCAATCTGGCCCTTAATTTTCAAAGCTCCATCAACTTCTCTCTTATCCAAAGGAAATAAGAGGAACACACTCTGCTTGCCTCTCAGACTTTCCAGCTTTGCAGATCTCTTTACTGTTCTGTACTTTGTCTTCTTCAAAGGCAATTAGCTCTTTGCAGAAGTGCAGCCTCCAACCTCACACAGAGCCCACACTGATGGTGACAAGAGCCTTTGGTGAGAACTTCCCTCATTTCTTTCCTTGATTACAGTATTTGGCCAACTCTTAAGGCCTTGAGCCCCTAAACCTAGTTGAGGCCCAGCGTCCTGTTTCTCAACAGTGTTCAAGGAGTCCTTCCCCACTCTGCATGGAATAGAGAAGGAAGAGAGGAGGCGAGGCAGAAAAGGGAAAGAAGGGAAGGAGAGAGAGAGAAGAAAGGAAGGGAAGAAGGAAAGACATCTTTTTAGTAATTTCCACATTTAAAGTGCTTTATATACATTTTCACAAACCCTGTAAGGTGCTATGAGTGCAACCCTACAAATGAAGAAATAGGGGCTCAGAGAAGCTAAGTAGCATGTCCTAGGAAGGTCACACAAGCTAGGAGCTGGAGGAACAGGAATTAGACTCCTGTTCTACACGACCTCTGCAAAGCCTGAGTTCTTGGTGCTGGCCAAGCCACTTCTAAATTTCTCTCTCACACCCCAACCACATAGCAACAGATAATTCTGAGCACTTTCTCTGTGTCCTCTCAAGCCCCAGCCACAGCTCACAACCAAGTAAGATGCAGCCCTTATTCGTAGGTTTTCCTGATCCGGTTGTTGAGGCCATCCATGGAATGTAATCCTTTGCCTATGCATTGTTGCATCCCTTTCCCCTTCAATGTGTCACATGAGCAGGACACACGGCAAGTGTCACAGGGACAGTGGGAAGACACTCTGCAGGCATTCCACAAAAACACACTGAGCACCGTTGTATGTTAGGCATTGCCCAGCACTGGGGATACAGTCAAAAACAAAGCAGACACAGCTCATGTTCTCAGGAAAGGGAGAGTTTGATGGAGAAGACAGAAAATAAGCAAACACTTACATGTTTGCAAAGAGGGTTATGAAGAAAAATGCCTGGTGCTGTCAAGTCCTAGTCAGGGAATGGGGGCAGGGGCAGGTCAGAGAGGCTTTGCTGAGACAGTGATGCTTAACAGACTGGAAGTACGAAAGGAATTAACAAGGGGAAGAGAGCTGCCAGCAAAGGATGCACAAGTGTCAGAGACCTAAGACCACAACTCTTGCCCAGAGATGGAAAGCAGGCCAGGGAGGGTAGAGCACAGGAAGACAGAGCGAAGAGGAGAACATGTGAGAGCTGGGGACTCAGAGAGGGACGTCAGACAACTGCAACAGTTGAGCATAATTCAAATTGTCATATAGTAGCAACAATATCCAAACTGAATGAAGTCTAGGATCCTCAGATCTTCCCCTCTGCCTAGGCAAACAGACCGAAACCTGAGTCTTTAGCTGATATTAAGGACAACCAGGATCTTTATTATTCACCACCTTGCTCCCAAAGGAAAATAATCCCCAGCCACGCCCACCGCCAGGAGAGCCACTGACCTTTCATAATTGTATGTGGCTGTGCCAGCATGGGCCGTGTTTAAGCCACAGCAATTGAGGCTTTGCACATTTCCCCAGAATTAATGAGCAGCTGAGGGACTTGGTAATACAGAGGGTGCATCCTCTGCAGCAGGTGGCCACTCTGGCCCTTAGCACGTATGCTAGGATGAGGTCACTAATGAGGTTTGAGCTTTTATTAGGGTGTTCTATGATGTGCAGAGGCTGGGCAGACTTTTCTAGAAAAATAAGTGGCTGAGAATGTAGGCTGTAATCACTGTTAGAGAAACGAATCTCTGAAGAGCCAACTTAGGGGACTTCGAGGTTGGACTTTCTACTCACCCTTTTCTCCCTGAGTGTTAATTTCAAAACAACTACTCTAAGGAAGAACTTTAAAAATGGCTGGTATGTCAAGGATGGACAAGGGAGAACCACATGTCCCAGAGGCAAGGGTAGGAATGACATCAGCCTATGACAGCTTAGCTACAGGGGATGGGAAGAACTGAAGGTCATCCGCTTTGGCACTAGATCACATAACTGTAACCTTAAGTAAGTCAGTCATAAGTCGTTTCTCTGTAAAGTGGATCAAATAAATTAGATCAGTGTATTTTGATCTTGCTTGCATATTAGAATCACCTGGGATATTTTTAAAACTCCAGATGTCCAGGCCACACACCACACCTATTAAGTCAACAGCTCAGAGGGTAGATCTCATGCATCATTGTTTTTTCCCAAAACTGCCCAGGTGATTCCAGCATGCAGTCAAGTTTGAAAACTAGTAAACTAGTGTTATAGTCATTTTTAGCATTGCTTTCTGCTCCAAAGTTTTGACTCTATTCATCTCCTCTCCTGAGAGCCCATAAATGTATTAGAAAGGAAGCCAGTAAGCAGGCAGTACACACTATCAATAGGAGTATGGAGTCATTGACCTCTGGGAAGCCCTCAGCTTGCTTGAAAACAAGTTCTTAATGGCATGACCTTGGAGGGTTTTAGTTACATGCCTGGCTAAGGTACCTCACACTTTGATAGGCATCAATGTCAACTGAGCCACCAATCTTCTCCTTTAAGATAAATTCATCAAGTACCACCAACTTCAATGGAATGTTATAGGAACACGTGGGATCTTTTGAGAAACAAAGACCAAGGTGATCTGTGTGAACTTTAAACATTTTTTTAATTAAAGGGATTTGGCAGAGAAAAATCATAGGAGATAGACATTCCAAGCTAATCTATGGAAGTTTCCACAATTCACACCACACAAATAAAAAGTTGTTTTCTTTTCAACATTCTTTAGGTGAGAATGACCATTAATTCTTCATGTGTTCACTTCGCGTTTCCCCCTTAGAGCATCACAGTGATATTTATTTGGCCTTGACTCAGAAGAATGCAATCCAGGTCACACTTCTTCTTCAGAGGAGGACAACCAAGGCAGAGTGTAGAAAGATTAACTCCGGGGGTTTGAGGCAGAGACAGAACGAGTGTGGGTGGAGCATCATATAGGGCAAATCTGTCTGAATCATGGATTTCAACAAGAAAGAACATTTAAAAGCACTGTCAGAATTGCCAATAATAAGAGGAGACTCCCAGCATTGTCTATCAGAAAGCTACCCTGTTCACGTCTGTCTCGCCACGGCAGGCTGACTGACTTCTCTGATCACTAGAACCATGGTAATACACAAAGGAGAAAGCCATAGACTTTTTAAGAAGGATCCTATGTGGTTGGTTTTTCTCAGACAAATTCAAGAATATCTACTGTGCATCAAACTACCTGCTGGACACTCTGGGAGATAGCTAAGGATTGAGAAGACATGGCCCTTGCCCTTCTCCAGACAGCTAGCTCTCTGAAAGAAGACAAATCCTACATACCTGAAACAGAGCCATTACAAGAGAATGTAAAACATATGAGTCCTGGGGTGAAGGGGGCCAGCACTTGCTAGTACGGTCTAGGATGGCTTCAAGAAGGAGGTGAGAACAGAATGAGCCTTGAAGGATGAGTAGGGTTTGTCTTAGAGAAAGAAACCTCCAACTCATAGACAATTCTTCTCCTTTGTTTAACTCCCACCAAGAAACCAAGCCCCACCTCAAAAATTCTATGAGCATCTCTTAATGGGAAGTCAGAAGTGACAGGAAGAGATAAGGGTTTGGATTTCTTGTCATAAAGTTTCTTTCTCCAAAGGAACTCAGAACAGAACCCTTCCTCTTGTCTAATAGGATACGGTTCTAATCCCAGATTGTGGTCTTGAACATCCCGCCTAATTCATCTGATCCTGGGGTGATTGTTGGAATGCTTGTCATATGTAGAATTCTAACATTCTAGAAATCACAAGCTTAGTAGCACTGATCTGATGTGTCAATGAGAAGTGCAGGTTATACGTGCTGATGGGAAGCAGTTGACACACAGAAAATAATCTTTGGGATGTATTCTCATTTTCTTCAGCAATGCCCTGTTCCAGTTACATTTTGCCCATTATATTACTCAACAAGTCCTACATTCCCTTAACATGCTGCTAAAGGTAGGACAGCACTTTTCCTGAAGTAAATCATAGACAGTTTTTAATTTTGATCCAACAATAACACACTCTCAATTACTTTTTAACATTTCAAATCATTTTTCATGCAGTAGCACCATTCTTTCTAATAAGTCGGTAGATGCATAGATAATCACATTTCACAAACGTGGCGATTTAAAAGGTCCAGAGAGGTAAGGAGATACATACAGGGTCATACAGGTTGATGTCAGAACCAGAATTGAAATGCAAGTTTCCTAAGCCCCATTCCAGAGCTTTTCCATTTGGTCATTTTGCTACATTTATTATCATCAGCACCACCATGGCAATGTAACACCTTTGGAAATCACAGCATATAAGAATCGGAAAGGATTTTAGAGATAACCCAGTCTGGTACACCTCATTAAACAGAGAGAGCATGAGGTCCAGAGAGGGGATCGGATTTGTCTAGAGCCACACAACAGTTTTGTGAGTTCATGGGAAGTCAAGATTAGCATTATAGATTAGGAAAGGAGTTGGATGGGGAAAAGAGTTGGGGTGGCATTTTAAGTCCAGTGTTGATTCATTCTCCTTGCCAATCATTGCCAAGGACTCGGGGAAGAACCCCCGGTCCTCCTGAAAAGGGTTTCTGTTTGATCCCACAGCAATCCATCAACGAAGCCATACGGACATCGACACTCCCCCGGAACAGTGGGGCAGGAGCCAGCGGTGGCGGTAGTGGAGAGAATGGCCGAGTGGTCAGCCACGACTTCCCCAAGTCCATGCAATCTATTCCCTGCATGAGCCACAGTTCAGGGATGCCCTTGGGAGCCACAGGATTATAACTGGAGCAGTGGAACAGATGGAGACCCCTTGGGGAGCAGGCTCAGGCTCCCCCAGCCCCATCCCAAACCCTTCAGTGCCAAAAACAACAACAAAATGAAACGCAACCACCACCAACCGCCATGACCACAAGGAGGATGACTCAACAGATTTTCCTGAAGAATTGAAAAACCATTTTGCTATCCCTTTTCCTTTTTTAATGTTCTTTCACCCTTTTTCGTTTGCTAAGTGAGGATGATAACACTGTACTGCAATAAGGGGAGAATAACCCTGTCTAACAGAGCTTGTGTCTCTGAAAATGGAGTCACTGGAACACTAATGAGGAAACTGTACTATTTTCTTTTGATTTGGTTGTTAATGTGTCCAAATGTGTGCAATATTTTTTTTCTTACTAATATCCATGGTTTGCAGGTTCTGTTAGGCCCCTTCCCTCTCCTTACTTCTAATTCTCAACTCCCTACCCATCCCTCTTCAGTTTCCAAATTGGAGATTCAAGATTCATTCCACCTTACAAGCAAGCAAAAGGAAAAAAAGCAACCTTCAAAGTAATTCTCCACGGGAGCTCTCCAAGTTACCCTCCACTCCTCAGCCCCAAGCCATGGATGGAGATGGATGTTGTTGGAGGAGTGAGCTGCCTTCCCCAGATGGGGCACTGCCTAAACACTGGTTTAGCTGGGAATGGATGTAAAAAGCAACTCAGACTGAGGGTGGCAGAGAGGGCAAAGGCAGATGTGCAGTCAAAGGAGGACCCATGAAGTTATTGCTGGAGGCTTAGATAAAGCTTCCTTTAACGTGTAAGAGCCATCCCAAAGGCCTGAGGCGGAATGGTGTATTTCTTCACAGAGTCAGCCTCATCCCTGAGAAGTATGTCCTTCTGACTATGCTCAAGCCCAAAGGCACTCTGGTGGCTAAAGGGCAACAGGTCTCCTAAACCGAGTAGGGCCTTGGGAACAGCTGACAGCTAGGGAGATACGGCTCATGATTCTCATTTTTCATTTGCTTAACATCTGAGCAGGAACCCCATTGTGGAGTAGACTTTCTCTTTGGAGCCTCTCATATGGGGGAAAATGGTATGCAAGCTAAGTGTGAAAGAAAGGTGATGGAAGAATTTTGGAAGAGGAAGACTCATCGAAGCCCACAAGCAATAGATCCTTCTATGGTGTGCCCTGTCCTAAGTTTGAGAGACCAAATATGAAGCTTAGGGTTTTGCTGACCTGCAGAACTTGGGTTTTGTGTCTACATAAAAATGTTGTTCTAGCATGTGGCCAGATAGCATTCTGTCGTCTAGAAAGTATAATGCCCAAGGCCGTATTATTTGAAGAAGTAAGGGAGATGGATTAAGTTGATAATGACATTGGGGGACCTTAAGATCACTGACCCCGACTTCTAACCCAAGAAGGCTGGCCTTCCCCCTGGCTAAAACAGAATGGGGATGTTGTATTCCAGTGACCAGAATCAATAAGCCCATGATTCTGACTATCAATCTGAACTAAAGCAAGACTGGAGAAGTGGCAGGGTTCATGGAGAGAAGGCCAGGTTGACTGCAACTTTGGTTAGGAGGGGGAGTTCCTGGCACATAGCTTACTTGGAGATCCCAACTCTCATTCTTGGTGCAATTGGCTTCCAGCTCTCCAGCAGCCACTCTCCTAGGTGCATGATTCAGTGTGTGCCATGTGTCATTAGCTTTTATTGATAACCATATTCTAGCTTGTTTCCTTACCCCCTACTTCTATCCAGTCTTCTCTGCTAGGGGTTATCATTAGCAATTGACAAACTAAAGGTTTTGGAATCTAACTATGAGTAGGTGCAGCACGATTGGCTTCATTTATGGATTCTCTCAGCGGACTCCCACCATCTCTATGTCTCTCTCATTCTCCTTTTATCAGCCATAGCAAAGAACCATCCCTGAATCAGACTCTTCGCCCTTTTAACTCAAGTGTTATTGTTCAGTCTCTCACATGTCAATGTGGACATGGTACATGAAGCAGGATCCTCAAGATGGATTTTCAGTTTCCACTACTGCCAGCTGATGTCCTTACCAGCCCCTGCCCTCACGCCAGATTTTTCTTAGCTCTTAGCCTACCCCTGCAGAATCCGATATGACCCGCCATTAGGGAGTCTGCATTTCGGAGGAGGTGGAAATAACCCTCTACCATTGACATGCTTCAAAGACCTTTTGCCTTTAGCCTGGTAAGAGGACTCTCCAGCCACTGAGTGCACCCGTAACATGATCTGATAGGGAGAGACCATCTATGCTAGAAATGAGGGTCTATGCTATGTGGGGGTCCAAGACTCCAGTGGAAGATGCTTTCCATCAACGGAGGAATGACGGGGAAAACAAAAGCAAGAAAAAAAGTTAACTTGTATTATGTATTTTTACTACACTTTTCTTAAAAATAGAGCAATGGGAAAACTCTGAAAGAGATTGACATTTTTCTCAACGGGAATCCATACTTAACAGTTCTGGCTTTCATTAAATTTTGCTCTTTGGTACCTGGGCTTTTTATTTAACATCTACATTTGTTTGAACTCTCTTAGCATATGTGTGAAAGGATTTTTGCTTGATCGAACACTAAATATTTTTTTGGTTCCTGTTTTCCTTTCAAGTAGCCAGGTTTTTTTTTTTCTTTTTGCATTTGCATAAAATGAAAATATCACCGAGAATTAAATCACTGTGGATCCATTATCTACTTTTCATATTTGTCCATTCCATTTTTGTGCCATTTCTGAAGCCAGAGCTCTAGAGGTTATGTTACTTCCTTATTGCCGAGCCTAAGTCCAGCACATTTTTAATGGTGACCACCATACCTGACTCAGAAACAGCTCTCAAACAAGTCATTTTAGATGAACTAGATCATTGTGAGTGACTCATCCAAATAGGCTAGCAAAAAAAGACAAGGAGCGGTATTTGGTTTTCAAGGCCGCAGTTTCTATTGTGTAAGGAGCAGGTTTTGGTTTCCCGTGGCCACAGCACCTCTATGGAAGTGGAGGGCTCACAGGGAATGTCTCCCAGACACCCCCAAACTGGAGTCTAGGTGGATCTGTGTCTGCGCAGAGTCACAACCAAAACCAAATCTAGACTGAGCTTATAAATAGATAATCTTGGTCCTCAGATCACAGGACCCTCATTCTTGCCTGAAAGGTTTTCTTTTGCTCAAGCAGGATGGGCTTTCTGTAAAGGATGACACACTGACACTTAGATACTGATGATTGGGAACAGCTTTAAGTGTCTTCTTTACCAAGGGACTTTGCGAATTAACAGTGGTCAGAGGTCTAAAATAAATGAAGCTCTAACAGTGGCATATCAGGCAGCAACTACCATAGAAGAAAAGTGCTAGGGGAAGGGAGAGAAGCTAGTGGACTTGTGTGAAGCTCCAGTCATTGTTTGTACCCACTGGCAGTCACCTTGAGCATCTAGGGTGCTTCTGAATGAAGAGACACAACACAAGCTGATGCATGGAGAAAACTGGTCTCTATCATCTTGCTATCAAACAGTTGGGATAATTATCTTAATGGCTATAAGAGCACAGGTTACCATGTATTGAGCACTTACTATGTTAAGCACACTCTATACCTTCTACATCATGACAATGACCCTCTAATGTAGGGCCTTACAGATGAGGAACACGGATTTAAAGAGATGGCATAACTTGCTTACAGTCCTGTAAGTGACAGAGCCAGGATTTGAACCGGGTCTGCTTGAATCCAAAGGCTTTATATTCCCCATCTCTCTGTTAAGCAGGCCATGATGCCTGGTGGCCAGGACAATAACAGGTGAGCGGTTGTCTACCTTCCTGTTATGCCAGAGTAACTGAAAACAGAATGTGTAAAGCTATACTTGGCACACCCTTGGGAAAGCCAGCCTACCCTCTTGGGGCATGAGAGATTAGTAATCCAGACAGGACTTCAAAAAGGAGACAAGAGAAGAGAGTCCCTTTTAGCCCCTTTAAAACAGACCCAGGCTAGGGAGAAGCAAGCAGGTTGGGGAGGGGACTGGAAAGCAGGTCCCCTGCAGAACAGTTGATTCAGCCTGGGGAAGGGTCCTCAGGGTTGCCCTGGGGAAATGGAGCTACCTTTCTGTGTGGACAAGACCAGGATTAGTTCTGGGGGTTACAGGGCAATGGACTTAGGTCCAACTAAAGAAAAGAGTCCCTAGTGGTCAAAGTATCCCCAGAGTAGCAGTAGACTACCCCTGGAGTTGGGACAAACTCCTGTCAAGGAGATGCTGCAGGTGTGAAAGTTGAAATACATACCCTCTAATTCCTTGCTTTTCTTGCATTTTTAAAGCCCTATTCAGGTTACCTGACCGGTAACACTCTGCTATGTACTAACAGAGGGTCAGCAAGGCTCTACAGAAATAAGCGTGAATATCTTTCACTGAAATAATGTCAAAAATCAACTTAACTTATCCTAATTATGGGACCATCCTAATTAAGAGACTAGATGGCAAGTCCTTCCTTACCAGATGCTAATGTTCTCTCTCGGAAAGAATGTCTATGGAGGTCCATTATTATCCCACTTTACAGATAAGAAAACTGAGATTCTTAAGTAAGAAGCTGCTTTCCCAAGTCACAATATGAGTAGAGAAGCAATGTTCTATAGAGGAAAGGCCAGTAGATAAGGGTTCACAGAACCTGACTCCTCCTTTACCTTTCTTATAAACTTGGACAAGAAAATTAACTACCCTGAGCCTCATTTTCCTCATCAAAGAAATGGGATGTTAGGTGTCAAAACAGGCAGTGATTTTCAACCCTAACTGCACATTGAATCACCTAGAAAACTTTAAACAAAATCACCAATGCCCAAGATGCATCTCCAAATATAATTTTTCTGAGAGCAGGCGCAGTTGTCGTTTTGTTGTTGTTTTGTTTCGAACTCTCATGTGATCATTACGTGCAGCCAGGATTAAGAACCACTACAATTGGGCCATCCTGGGATCAAAGAAAATGCTCATAAAACCTTCTTCAAAAATCACAAAGCACTATATTAGGGGTATTTGACCAACACCAGAACCCAGGTTACCTGATGGCAAATCTCCATGGTTCCAAGGGAGAAAATGCCGTTATATTCATCTGACCCAAAAGAAGGAAAAGATACAGACCCAACTTGGTCTCTAATGCTCCTTTACGCTCCAGGCATGTTTGTAATAACAACATTTTGCTGGGAGAAGAGAGACACAGGACATTCGAGATAAGATATAATCATCAGAGATATCTCCTCAGGCAAGGGTTGGGGGGGAGGGCAGGGAACAACTTTGTCAAGTGAGTCAGACTTCAACACAGCCACAGCCAGTTATTTTCCAAACTGGAAAACTACTTGGCTGTTTCCATTATAGACACAAAATCCCACTGCCTGCATTCTTAACATAGTCTACCGGAAAGCATCGCCTATCCGCCTCATCTTCCATGGGCACTCTGAGCCCTACTGGTAACAGCTCCAACTTCTTCTCCATACCATGCTTGCCATTTTTATAGCACTACAAGGGAGGAGGGAACCAGCATTTGCTCAGCATTAACTGCATACCAGGCAAGATGCTAGGGCTTCACATACATCTCATTTAGTCCTCAAAACAATCCTGCAAGGTGGGGATTTATCACCCCCATTTTACGTAAGAGGAAATGGAAGCTCAGAGAGCTTCAGAACCCAAGGTCACGCAACCAACCAATGACTTGGCCTAGATTCCTGTCCAAGCCTGTCTCTCTCCAAAGTCATTACCTTTCCACTTTATTTAACCACTTCCTAAGGAGATTGCATCACACTAAGAAAAAGCAGTGGACTAAGATTGAAAGATATGAAGTCTATTGCCTACGTCACTGCCAATTTTCAGTGTGACCTTGTGCAACTCATTTCCTTACTCTGGCCCTTAGTGACCTCATTTGTGAAATGAGAGAAGGGGAATTAATCTAATTGATCTCTAAGTTTCCTCTTCGTTGTAGCCTTCTGTCAATAGTTCTCAACCAGAGGCGATTTTGTGCCTCCCCTGGAGCATTTGGCAATGTCTAGGGATATCTTTTGTTGCCACAACTGAGGGTAGAGGGTGCTACTGGAATTTAGTGGGTAGAGCCCCAGGGATGCTGCTAAACATGCTACAACACACAGGGTAGCGTCCCGCAACAAGGAATGATCCAGCCCCAAATGTCAACAGTGCCGAGGTTGAGAAACCCTGTCTTATATAATTACAGCATCCCAACAGCATGTTGGGACGTGGATGATGGCAAGACAAGGCTGAACAGGAAAAGGGCAAGGATCCAAGTCATGTGAACCATCAGAGAAAATGAAGAATTACATGAATTTAGGCAACAAAGAAGCTGAGTTTAGGGAAGTAAGCTGAGGTCAGAAGAGTTTGGCCCACAGTATAAATATAGACAGGCGGAGAAGCCAAGGCTGAGGACTCAGTCAGTCACAAGCTGTTGGCCCTGTTGCTCAGGAGATAGCAGGGGGCTCTGCCCGCAGCAGTCGTTTACTCTCTGCCCACTATCTTTCTGCAGGTGGTTCTGCAGCCACAACCAGTTGAGAGACCAACAGGTGAGCCCTATCCACCCCCCAAAAGACTGGATAAGCTTTGTTTTATCTCAGAATATACCCTCTTCCTTCTAACAAACATAGGTGATGAGCACCATGTCCACAGGTAGATGTCATGGGGAATAAGGAGACAAATAAGTGCTAGTCCTGTCTCTCATAGAGTTGATGGTCAGGAAGGAAAAATAAGACACATAAACAGCACTGAGTATAACACAAGGTCGAAGGCGGATGGAAAAAAGGCAAAGTGCTTGGCCATATGCCCCTCATCACCTTGTGCCCAGCCTCTAAAAAGGGGACTCTGAAGAGATAACATTCCATACCCTTTCCCCGTGATCACTGTTTTCCAACTACCCCAGCTTTTGTGGTGTTCCTCAAACATGCCATGCTCACTTCCATCTCAAGGCCCTTGCACCTGCTGCTTCCTTGGCTTGAAACCTTCTTCACCCAGATCCTTGTGAGACTAGCTCCTCATCATCCACGTCTTAGCTCAAAATGCCATCTCCCCAGAACAGGCGTCCTTCTCTACTCTGTTCAGACTAGCTCTGAAGTCACTCACGCTCACATTACTCATCACCACCTAATAATATCTTGTTTCCTTGCTTATTGTCTGCCTGTTCTCATCTAGAATATGCTTTCGAAAACCAGGGACCTTGACTGTCTCAGCACAATGCCTGGTACATAATAGATCCTCAATCAATATTTGTTGACTTGATGAATGACAGAGGTAGAGCTGAAATGCTCTTTGGTGTCTAAAGGAGGCAGAGATCATTTCTGCCTGAGGAAAGAAAGAAAGGAGGTGATGACATTTGTGTGTTGCCTTGAGGCTATGTAGGCATTACACAGCCAGAGACAGAAGGGAAGCCTTCAAAGAAGGGGAAACAGAACAAGCCAGGGCATGAAGGCAGGGCCTGTTTGGGAAAGGGCAAGTACCCAATGTAGTTGGCACCACACTGGCCAAGGAGGGCAGTGAAGAGAAGACTGGACTGGGCTTGGGGAGCTGTTAATCCATCATGAACTAGGGAGTTAAAAATTTTTGGGGGTGGGGCTGAGAAATCCATTTAGATATCGTGTATTGAATTTAGCAAGAAATTGATAAATTTTAGGCGTCTGCGATGTGCCAGGCTCTGTGCCAGGTACTTTACACCGTCCTCTCATTTAATCCTCAGGCAATAA